AAGCAGGCTCTGAGCTGTCAGTGCAGAGCCCAACACAGGGCTTGTACTCATGATTATGAGATCATGACCTGACCCAAAATCAAGAGTTGGAACTTAACCAACTGAATCACACAGTCACCTTTGGAAATCTTTTTAAATGTTATCCAAATGGCATAACAAAAACAAATAAAAAATACCAAACATTTAGACTCAATATTTTCACCTCTAGGAATCCACCTTAATGAAATCTAAAAATGGGACAAAGTTTCATAACTGTCGAAACAAACCAAAAACATAAAAAAAGAAATATTCAATAAATTATAGTACATCTATATTCATAAAGCATTTCTAAGGACAGAAAATGCTCAAAATATGAAACTTTATAATCTCAAATGGTGGAGGGGAACAGGGCAGTCAGTAGGGGTGGGAAGTGGGGCATGGAGGGCAGAGATATATATGCAAAAATAAAAGACCTAGAAAACGTATAGCAAATAAGCTTTTACAGAGGACTGTTGGTAATTTTTTTTCTCTTTTATTCTTGTCCATATTTGTCAAATTATCTTTCAAGCACATAGTCCTAAAAAAGGAAAGAAAAGAAAAGAGAGATGGGCGCCTGGGTGGCTCAGTCGGTTAAGTCTCCTGCTTCGGCTCGATCATGATCTTGCGGTTTGTGGGTTCAAGACCCAAGTCAGGCTCTGTGCTGACAGCTCAGAGTCTGGAGCCTGCTTTGGAGTCTGTGTCTCCCTCTCTCTCTTCCCCTCCTCCCCTCTCAAAAATAAATAAACATTAAAAAGAAACAAAAAAGAAAAAGTATAGCAAATAAGCTTTTACAGAGGAACTGTTGGTAATTTTTATTTTCTCTTTAATTCTTTTCTATATTTGTCAAATTTTCTTTTAAGTATATACTCCTGAAAAAGTAAAGACAGGAAAAGAGAGATAGGGCACCTGGGTGGCTCAGTTGGTTAAGTGTCCAACTTCAGCTCAGGTCATGATCTCACAGTTTGTGAGTTTGAGCCCCACATGGGGCTCTCTGCTGTCAGCAGAGAGCCTGCTTCGGATCCTCTGTCCCCCTCTTTCTCTGCCCCTCCTCTGCTCTCTCTCTCTCAAAAAAATGAATAATCTAAAAGAGAGAGAGAGAGAAAGGAAAAGAGAGAAAATGGATTTGGGGATGAAGGAGATACAAGTTAAAATCTCACATTATTATACACTCCTTTTGGACAAGTTAATTAAGCCCTTAAAGCCTCCAGATCTGTAAAATGGAGATGATATCTAAATTCCAGGGTTACTTTGAGGATTACAGACATTTTATGTATAAAGGACATAAATAATATCTTAAACACAGTGAACACTAGGTATAATTGCTACTTCTCATACATCTGTGCCACATCCTTCCCTATATATAAATGTAAAATTACACTATACTCCTCCCATCTGAGATACCACTCACTTTAACATGTAAGCAAGTTTTGCAAACATTGAAATGTAAAAAATGATCATCTTGGATTTAATGAAATACATTATAGCTTTAGTGAACTAAATGCTACTTTCCACACATACCTTTTTCTTCAGTACAATGAAGTACATATTGCATTAGAAACAAATATTAAAAATAAAGGGACTGTTCCCATGGAAATGGGATTCCTTAATCATTAGGAAAATGCAAATCAAAACCACAATGATATACCAACTCAGACAGCTTTAGGTAGCTACTATTAAAAAAAAAAACAACAAAAAAAAAAACAGAGAAAGATGTTTCCAAATGACATATCAGATAAAGGGTTAGTATCCAAAATCTATACAGAACTTACCAAACTCAACACCTGAAAAACAGATAATCCGGTGAAGAAATAGGCAGAAGACATGAATAGACACTTTTTCAAAGAAGACATCCAGATGGCCAACAGACATATGAAAAGATGCTCAATGACACTCATCATCAGGGAAATACAAATCAAAACCAAACTGAGATACCACCTCACACTGGTCAGAGTAGCTAAAATGAACAAATCAGTAAACTATAGATGCTGGCGAGGATGTGCAGAAACAGGAACCCTCTTGCACTGTTGGTGGGAATGCAAATTGGTGCAGCCACTCTGGAAAACAGTGTGGAGATTCCTCAAAAAATTAAAAATAGAACTACCCTATGACCCAGTAATAGCACTACTAGGAATTTACCCAAGGGATACAGGAGTGCTGATATATAGGGGCACATGTACCCCAATGTTTATAGCAGCACTTTCAACAATAGTCAAATTATGGAAAGAGTCTAAATGTCCATCAACTGACGAACAGATAAAGAGGTGGTTTATATATACAATGGAACACTACTTGGCAATGAGAAAGAATGAAATCATGCCATTTGCAGCAACATGGATGGAACTGGAAGATATGCTGAGTGAAATAAGTCAGTCAGAGAAGGACAGATATCATGTTTTACTCCTATGTGGATCTTGAGAAACTTATCAGAAGACCATGGGGGAAGGGAAGGGGTAAAAATAGTTACAAACAGAGAGGTAGGGAGGCAAACCATAAGAGACTCTTAAATACAGAGAACAAACTGAGGGTGGATGAGGTTGGGGGAGAGGAGAAAATGGGTAATGGACATTGAGGAGGGCACTTGTTGGGATGAGCACTAGGTGTTGTGTGTAAGCGATGAACCACAGGAATCTACCCCAAAAACCAAGAGCACACTTTACACACTATATGTTAGCCAATTTGACAATAAATTATATTTAAAAAAAAACAAAAAAAAAAAACAAAAACAAAAACAAAATAACAAGTGTTGGTGAGAATGTGGAGAAATGGGAACCCTTGTGCACTGCTGGTAGAATGAAAACTGGCAGAGCCACTATGGAAAACAATATGCCAGTTCCTCAACAAATTAAAAATAGAATTACCATGTGATCCAGAAATTTCACTTCTAGGTATATATCCAAAAGAACTGAAGGCAGGGACTTGAGTAGATATTCATACAGTCATGTTCATAACACCATTATTCACAATAGCCAAAAGACAGAAGTAACCCAAATGACCTGTGATGGATGAACAGATAAATAAAATGCAGTGTATACATAAAATCAAGTGTTATTCAACCTGGGAAAAGAAATTCTGACGTGCTACAAAATGGATGAATCTTGAGGACATCATGCTAAGTAAAATAAACCATTCCCCCAAAGACAAACATTATATAATTCCATTTATGAGGTACTTAGAATAGTCAAATTAGAAACAGAGGGGGAATGTAAAGTTGCTATTTAGTGGCTGTACAGTTTCAGATTTGCAAGAAGTTCCAAAGATTGGTTGCACAACAATATACCTAATGCTACTGAACTATACATTTTATAATGGTTAAAAAGGTAAATTTTATGTTATGTATATTTTACCCCTATAAAACAAAATTAAAGGACTGTGATGAGAACAGATCCACTTCAATAACATAATTCACTGAAAATATTTTTTTTTTACTTTATTTTGATTTGAGAGAGAGACACAGAGAGAGAGAGTATGAGAGGGTAGAGGGGCTGAGGGAGAAAGAGAGACTCCCAAGCAGGCCCTACACTCAACACAGCCCAACATGGGGCTCGATCCCACAACCCTGGGATCATGACCTGAAATCAAGAGTTGGGACACTCAACTGAGTAACCCAGGCACTCCATCACTGAAAATAGCTTTAATGGACTATGTAAATTCACTTAAGGAGGACTATTTATTTTTAAGTTTGTTTGTTTATGTATGTATGTATCTCTACACCCAGCATGGGACTTGAAACTCACAACCCCAAGATCAAGAGTCACTTGCTCTTCCAAGTGAGCTGGCCAGGCACCTCAGTAGTATTTTTTTTTTCAAGTAATGAAATCTCCTTTT